CCTGGTTGCGATGGCCGGCCCTTTGGCTGGGGTGGCTGCCGGGTTCTGGCAGGGGGTCGGCTGTGGTTGTGTGTGTGTGGTCGTTGGTGGTGCATGGCGGCGGTCGGGGCATTGCTTCACTTTGACGGGGTGCTGGCTGTTCAGCCTGATGTGACATTTGCGTTGGGGGGTGCTGTGTGTGTGGGGGGTGTATGGGTGGCGTGCCTGAGCTTCTCTGGGCCTGTGTTGTGGGGCTGTAGGGATGCATTGGTGTGCTGGGCCGGCCTTCCTCAGCTGCTGCTCCTTGGGGCCGACTTGTGGTTGTTGTCGGGTGGATGGGGCGCATGGACGGCCCGACAGAGGCTCTGTCGGGCTGTCTCTGTGTGCCTGTTTATGTCTCAGGTTGGGTTTTAGGTGGTCCCCTCTCTTGGATCAATTTTGGCCCCCCATTTGGTGTGTCGAGCTCCCCTCTGGTGGTGGGCCCCCTGCCACTGGTGCATTAGCGGCTCTCAGCATCTGGGGCTGGGTGGTAGGGTGTGTGCGGGCCCGCCCTGGTGGCTGCCTGCCGGGGCCTGGGTGCCCTGGCTCTGTCGGGCTTCTGTTGGGGGGTGGTATGACCTCGGGACTCGGTGTCCATGGCCGGATCTACTCTGGAGGGGCGGGTTGCCAGCGGGGCCTGTGGACTTGTCGCTACAGCCTCCTGGGGTTTCTGCATTGTGGTTGCTGGGGATCGCCCAGGGCTTCCCTTTGCTTCTCTCTCTGGGGGGTGCGGGTGTCCCTGTTGGGGGACTCCTGGAGTTCCAGGCTTGGGGACCACTGTGTGTCTGTGGTTCCGGTCTTCCCTGTGTTACCATCGTGTCCTGTGGAGATGGGTCTGTGGGTCCCCACTTCCACTATTGAACATTTTTATGGAGAAACCTTATAGTGACAAGCATGCTCACACAGGTGTTTAGATTCAGGTGTTTATCAGATACACACTCAGTTGGGTTGTGGTGGCCACTAAATATATCTTGTATTACCATGTACTGTATAAAATACTTTCTAATGATGTTATAAGTATCATTATATATGTTGTTTGTTGTTGTGGTTTCTCGGTTTTGTCTTGTTGTTTTTTTTTTCTTTTCACAGGTCTAGAGGCAGACTTCAATTATGTTGATTTGTGTTCTCTTTATCCCTCTCTCTCTCCTCTATTCCTATCTCCTTCTTTACCTTTTAACCCTGCTCTCACTTTTCTGCTTTGTTATCTTCTTTGTTTTTCATCCCCATGTCCATTACATCTGAAACAAGCCCAAAGCAAATTCTAATAAAGTAATAATAAAATTAAAATTAATTAATTAATTAATTAGTTAAAATAAAAAAAATAAAAAAAACTTGACAGCAGAACTCCAAAAAGACAAAGTCAATATGTCTAACAGCATTCTTGACTTACAAGCTAGAAGCATGAGGGACAATATAATAATACATGGTGTGCCACAAGTCAATAATGAAACTTACCATAAATATGAAGAACTGCTTAAGGCATTCCTAGTGGACAACTTGAGAATGAGGTCGGAGGTAGCTGAAACTATTCGCTTCTCAAGAGCCCACCGTATTTGGAAAACTACAGCAGACCAAAAAAGACCTTGTCCCATTGTGGTCAAAGTCATTGACTCCAGGTTGAAGTCTGCCGTCATGTCCAAGGGGAGAAAGTTAAAAGGATCCAACTACTCCATCCGTGATAAATTTCCACCAGAGATCATGAATAGACCGAGATACTAGCGGAGGCTAGAAAAAGCAAGAAGAACACGCGCCTGACTGTTGATAAACTTTATATCAATGGGCAACTGTACAGGAATTCTCATGTCACATACTGGTTGTGTGGAGGAGATGGAAACACTATCCCCGGACTTCAGGCTATTGACGATGACGTCATCAACGCGACACTATTACCATGACAACCAGTGAATACTTAAGCTCCTGCTTAATTTTACTTTGACAACTCTGTTTTTCATTGTACACAGCCTGTTTTGTGTAGGATTGAACAAGCTCTAGAGCAATGTGGATATCCTAACTGGGCCTTCCTGAAAGCAGAGAAGAAACCCAAACAGGACTCCAGTCAGCCATCAGGTGAAAAGGAGGAACCCAGACCCAGACCAGTGGTCATTCCGTATGTTGAGGGAGTATCAGAGAAACTGAGACGTTTATTTTCTAAACATAACGTACCAGTGGCTTTTAAACCCCAAAATACATTACGGCAAAGACTGGTTCATCCCAAAGATCCAGTCCCCCGGCACAAACAGAGTAATGTTGTGTATGTTGTTCAGTGTCAGGAGGGCTGTGATCAGTCTTACATCGGGGAAACTAAACAGCCACTGGCCAAAAGGATGGCCCAGCACAGAAGATCAACATCATCAGGCCAAGACTCTGTGGTCTACACTCATCTCCAGGCCAGCGGTCACTCTTTCAAGGATGAAGATGTTCACATCCTGGACAGAGAGGAACGATGGTTTGAGAGAAGAGTAAAGGAGGCCATCTTTGTGAAAAGAAATCGTCCATCATTAAACAGGGGTGGAGGCCTCCGGGTTCAACTGTCCCCCTCTTACAATGCTGTGATTGCTAGTATCACTCAGCCCTCTGTGAACAGTAAACAGCCATCAGTGTGCTAATGATCCATTGTTAGGCTGATGGTCCTTTAGAATCAGAATCAGAATCAGAATGCCTTTATTGTCATTATACGCAGTACAATGAAATTAAGAGCCACTCCTTTTTCCAGTGCAAAAACACGCCTTAAGAAAACACACATTAAACACACACTAAAAATATAAAAAATGTAACGCAATATAGATATAATAATGAAAGTAAAAAAATACAAGTATTACACAATTGTATTGCACATTATGGATATTAGTGAGGTAGTTAAGGTGACTGAGAGTATGAAATGTCAGTAGTATTGCACAGTAGAAGTCCAGGGGTTTGGGAGGTTAGATTATTAAATCGGTGCATATGTGAGTTCAGTGAGGTAATGGCTTTCGGGAAAAAACTGTTCTTGAATCTGTTTGTTCTTGTTCTGATGTACCTGTAGCGTTTCCCTGAAGGTAACAAGTCAAACAGTTCAAAACCCGGGTGTGAACGTTCCATGATTATGTTTTCTGCTCTGTTGAGGCAGCGTGATGTGTAAATGTCCATCAGGGAGGGGAGAGGGCAGCCAATGATCTTTTGTGCTGTCTTGACTACTCTCTGAAGCCTCTCCCTGTCAGCCAGGGTGCAGCTGCCGTACCATACTGAGATACAGTATGTCAGCAGGCTCTCGATGGACGAGTGGTAGAAGGTCAACAGCAATTTTGTGTTCAAGTTGTGCTTCTTAAGGACTCTTAAGAAGTGTAGTCTCTGCTGAGCCTTCTTGATGACCGCTGTGGTGTTCTCTTTCCAGTTTAGGTCAGCAGAGATATGGACACCAAGAAGTCCTTCTGGATCATGTGAGCAGCTGGTTTTGGTTGTCAGCAGCAAACTGGTTGATCCACTCTGAGAAGGTGCTATTTAAGAGACTGAGCTGAAAACAGCACCTCAGACTGAGGAAGTCTCTCGGATGAGAGACGAAACGTTTCTATATTTTTTTACTTTGTTTTGTTTTTTGTTATTTTGAATGTCCAGAGGACCAGATTGAACTTTTTTGGATTTTTCTACCTGGATTATTGAGCATGCATCAGGATATTTATTATTTACATTTACAAACTGGACTCTATCAGATATGATTTAACTGCTTCAAGAGCTAACTAATAGTTCTTATGCTATTATATTATCCTATAGTATATCCTATATTATTAATTAGTCAGAAAGAAATGAGCCATAACCAAACAGAACCTATCAGAGTGATTCGAATGAATAAATGTCATCTTATCAGGACTACTATGGAACCTCTGGGAGTGTTAATGGTCAACCTCCGCTCCCTTGAGAATGTCTGTGGATCCCTTATCAGAGCGAGCTACCTGAATAAACCTTGTACCTTTCTTATTCAGAACTACTACAGAACCTCTGGCAGTGTTCATGGACAATCTCTCCACCTTTGCCGCCTCTCCTTCCCCTCTGCAGAATGTCTACATCACTGTGTTGTTTTATGCACGAGATTTTCTTTCAATTTCTGGCACTCTGCCTTGGCCAGGGCTTAGTGTCAGTTGTGATTTTTTTTGCCTCCTCACCCTGTTGTCACGTTTTCTCTACTTTTTGCCTGTCTAAACATGTCTCACTTGTAAATGAGTACCCGCGGCTAAATGTGATTAATCTGTATAAATAAAGGTTGAATTAACAAAAAGCCAACCCGGACCACACATGCAATCGTTGTAAACAAACTCCAGCTTAAATCTTGTATACATCCTGGACCTGTCCCAACCTGCAGACCTTTTAGTAATCTATTTATGACACCTTCTCTGGGAAATGTGGCAAAACTGTACACCCATCCCTGCTCATCTCACTGTTTGGGGTGGTCCCTGTGGATACGTCCTTCAGCAAATACAAGAAGGATGTAACGGCCAATGGCTCTCTTTTGGCCAGGAGGCTCATTGTGTGCAATTGGAAAGACCAACACCCCCCAGCCTATATATATTTGATAAGAGAGGTCATTTACCATATCCATCTGCAAAAAAGTCAGATACACCCTGAAGGGTTCTACAGGAAGATTCTAGAACACTTGGCAGCATTTTCTGTCATTTGTTGAGAACATGTATAAACTATTTATGTATGTGTGACTGACCCAGTGTGGGAGGGGTGGGGTGAGAAGGGATTTTGTTCTGTGTTCTTTTGCTTTCTTTGTGTGTTTTTTTTTTCTAAAAAAAAAAAAAAAAAAAGCAAAAACTTAAAACAAGATTGTTTAAAAGAATATTGTATATGAGTTACCTAATTCAAGCTGAAATATACGAACAGATCTGGGCTCAGATCTGGACTTTAGTCCACCTGTTGGAGACTGCTGTAGATCAATCAATAAACAAACAGGATGTGTTCCTGCAGAGCTATAAATTATTATTTTTATTTATTTATTTTGTCTTCAGAGCATCAAGGTGTCATGGCAGCCACCGCCTCGCAACGCTCAGAATGGGCTCATCTCCGCCTACAAGATCAGGTACAGGAAGACTGGTCGCCGCGGAGACCAGGAGGCCATCGAACCCAACAACTTCTGGTACCTGTTCACAGGTACGACTCTTAGGTCCATTTCACCATCCCGTGTTGTGTAAAGCCATCAGCTAAAAGTTTAAAGAGCGGCGATGATCAATGTGACTTCTTGTTTAATTATTAAAATTTGATTTAAAAAAATCATAATTTTCATGAATTGTTTGGATAAAATTATTAGGTAAAGGAAACAAAATGAACTCTTGTTACATCCCGGCTCACTTTGGACGCAACATAAATGATGTGAAACAAAAGTTTGTGTAAAAAAATAATAAGGGACAATTTATTTTGGCTGTGTTTACAAGATACTAAACAAAAACACAGCAATAGCTGGCGTTCTTCACACAGATTAACTAAAAACTAGAATAACTTATTGTTCTGAAAAATGACCGAAGTACTTGAAAACAAAGTGAAAATTCCAAACCAAACAAAATATTTAACCCATATTAACAATGATCAAACTAACACAAGTGGCTCCAGAATGAGAATTAAATCTCCTAACAAACAAATCTGTCTTTGCTACAAGGGTCACAGTCTGTCAGAGCCAATAAGACAAAGCAAGACAGTTGAAAACCACAATTTGGCTGCGCCACCAAAGATTGGCATACTGCACATTAAGCACAGAAGCTCTGACGGAAGAGCAGGGCTGGGTTTTATGATCTTCTTCCTCCTTCTGGCCTCCTTATTGACAATCGATGGATGGGCGGTGCCGTCCAAATCTCTTCCAGCCAATCATCTTTGGACAGGTGAGCCTTGAAGCCTTGGTCGAGAGTCCACCAATAGAGGGAGGCAGCAAGCCAGCAGCAACCAGGCAGTACAGAAAAAAACTACAAAAACTGCAAAAGAAGAAAGGCAGTACAGACCTGAGGCTGTAACACTCTGGAGCATCAAAACTATTCGCTGAATGCAGAACATTTGTTACGTACTGTAACCCCAGACTTTATGAGTATAGGCCAATGTTCCCTCTGCTGTGCACCTGTGCAATCTTGCACTGCTTTCACATTATATGCACACAAGAAAATCTACTGTATGCTGCGCAGTTGAGACAACTGCTCCAATGCCCAAGCAAAATATCTAGTTCTCCAGCTTTTTAATAAACTGTCAGCCTGAGCACAGCAGTCTCTATAATCTGCCTGTATGCAGCGCATACAGGAATGCATTCAGACTAGAGGGAAGGAAACACCCCACCACCCCCACTCATAACAGACCTGTGTCATGTGATTTGTGTGGCGACAATGGAAGTTTACGAAGAGGTAAAAATTTCAACCAATGAAATCACAGGTAAACTTTCATTCCAGTCAATCAGTGTCTTCTGGAGTTTTGGTGCTGAAATATATGAAGAAGCTAAGTAGATACAAGCACACTCCTTGCCTTCTAGATTTCCAAACTTTAAACTGCATATTTCATTGCATACCGAGGAATAATATTTGGCGTTGTGGATTTATCACAGAAGTTTATGGTCGTACGACATTAAGTAAAGGCGGTATGCTAATCCCATAATTTATAGCCATTTTTCATGCTAAGTGTTAGCAAACAGTAGCGTTTCGTGTATATCTGGATGGTCAAAAGAAAAGTTTACAAGACAGTTGTGAGACCAGCTATGCTGTATGGTCTGGAGACAGTGGCATTGTCAAAAAGACAGGAGAAAGAACTGGAAGTAGCAGAAATTAAGATGTTTAGGTTCTACTTAGGAGTGACAAGGATGGATAAGTTTAGGAATGGGATCATCAGAGATACATCACTGGTTGAACAACTGGGAGATAACGTTAGAGGGGCCAGACTGAGATGGTTTGGTCGTGTCCAGAGGAGGGACAGTGAGTATATTGGTAGAAGGATGTTAAAAATGCAGCTGACAGGAAAAAGACAAAGAGGAAGGCCAAAGAGAAGATATATGGATACAGAAAAGCCCATAGCTCCATTTCAGCATGATTTGACTTGGCTCGGTACGGTTCCAAGGCTTTTTCCACTAGCACTTTTTTGTGGAGCCAGCCCCTTTTTCAGGACCCATTTTTCTGGGGTACCAAGCGAGCTGAGCTGGCACCAAAACATGACGTCAGAACACTGTCAGTCACTGATTGGTCAGGGGCGGAGTCAGTGGATCTTTGATAAACTTTTCAAAACACCCGATCCACCATTTGCAATTACTCGAGCTTGGCGAAGCAGCTAGACCTATTTTTCTTCTTCTTCCTCTTCTTCTTTCGGTCTGTCCCTCTTCAGGGGTTGCTACATCAAGTCAACCTCCTCAATCTCACTCTGTCCTCAGCATCCTCTGTCCTCAGCATCCTCTGTCCTCACTCCAACTACCTCCATGTCCTCTCTAACTGCATCCATATACAGTATCTACTCTTTGGCCTTCCTCTTTGTTTTTTTCCTGGCAGCTGCATTTCTAACATCCTTCTACCAATATACCCACTGTTCCTCCTCTGGACATGTCCAAACCTTCTGGCCTCTCTAACTTTATCTCCCAGTTGTTCGACCTTTGCTGTACCTCTGATGATGTCATTCCTAATCTTATCCATCCATGTCACTCCTAAGGAGAACCTCAACATCTTCATTTATGCCACTTCCAGTTCTTTCTCCTGTCTTTTTGTCAGTGCCACTGTCTCCAGATCATACAATATAGCTGGTCTCACAAGTGTCATGTAAACTTTTCCTTTGACTTTTGCTGACACCTTTTTGTCACAAATAACTCCTGAAACTTTCTCCATCCACTTCATCCTGCCTGGACTCTCTTTTTCACCTCTTTACCACACTCCCCATTTTCTTGGACAGTGGACCCCAAGTACTTGAAGTCCTACAGCTGTGTGACCTCTTCTCCTTGTAGCCTCACTGTTCCACCAGCCTCCCTCTCATTCACACACATGTACTCTGTCTTACTATGGCTGACTTTCATTCCTCTTCTTTCAAGTGCATACATCCACTTCTTCAAGTTCTCTTCCACCGTTCTCTGTTCTCACCACAGATCACAATGTCATCTGCAAACATCATAGTCCATGGGGATTTCTGCATGACCTCATCAGTTAGTCAGTCCATCACCAGAGCAAACGAGAAGGGGCTCAGAGCCAATCCTTAATGCAATCCCACCTCCATCCTGAAGCTATCTGTCACTCATTCCTGGTTCTTGTGGGCCACTATCCTGCATGAATAGGATCAGCTGTCCCCCAATCCTGGTCCTTGGGGACCACAATTCTGCATGTTTAAAATCGAAGATCTGCATGATTTAGCTGTTCCTCTGCTTCAACACAGCTGATTTGAATAAACAAGTGATTAACAGACTTGTGCAGAACTTGAAGACCTGCTTATGAACAGAAAACAAATAAAACCTGCAGGATGGTGGCCCTCAAAGACCAGGACTGCACACCACAGCCCTAAAGGAATCTATGAAGCCATCTGCTCAAACTTGTCAGCTGGGCCTGGAGGCGACCGCCATGAGCTTAACGGTTGCTTATTGCTTTTGCTTAAAATGGCTGCCCCTAGTCTTTAGTTAGTCACCAGCGATCACAGCCGAGGGAAATACAAAATGGAAGATTTTTAGTCCAATATTCACTTTAAACAAGATTATAATTTTTCATCTTTCAGCTGATTCCTTCATCAGGGGTCGCCACAGCAAACTAAGCCACACAAAGACTTGGCAATTATTTTTTTTTACAACGGATGCCCTTCCTGACAACCACCGACTACCGAGCCACCACAGCACTCTGTGTGGAGCAGAGAGCTGCTATCTAGAGCACCAGGAGGAGCAGATGGTGAGGGTTAAGGGCTTTGCTCAAGGGCCCAGAGTGAGGCAAGTGAGGGTGGAGGCAGATGTGGGTGTCTCACCTATCCCACCCACATTTTGATGTTGTTTGTACTGGGAGTCGAACCGATGATCTTCCGATCACAGGCCCACATTCTCTAACCTCTGCGAAACCACTCCCCTTTTTTAAAAATAAGATGAAAATAGAATCCTTTTTTTCCCTCAGTATAAACCAGCCATGTTGTGAGTTTTCGACCTCTTCCTGTGGAGCCACAATCCTCTGATTATTCAAAGCAGCTCCGCTAAAGGGCTAAAAAGTTCAACAATAAATGTCATCTATAATGGCTTCTCCTCCTGTCCACAGGTTTGGAGAAGGGCAGTCAGTACAGTTTCCAGCTGGCAGCAATGACGGTGAATGGGACAGGTCCGGCCAGCGATTGGTACATTGCAGAGACCCCGGAGAACGACCTGGATGGTACATGTGTTTGTTTGAGCACTGTAATCTGTCCGACAACATCTTCCTCACAGTCCAAACATGCATAAATCTTTAAGCAGCAAATAGCTTCAGTGAAATGAAGAAGCTCAGGTTTCGTCTCCGGGGAGGAGGAGATGGAGTGCTGGGAACGTGGTGTAAGAGAAAGGAGTAAAATTTGATTTATTTATGGGTGCAAAATATAAGAATAATAAAGTGGAAAACATAAAAAATGTTTGTGACATCACAGTTTGTTTCTACATCCTCGTTTTAGTTTTTAATTTAGCTTTTGTTTTCTTCAAAGTGTAAATACTGTAAATCCATCTTATATTTCTGACTGGGAGTGGAAGCTTAGAACCTCGATGTTCTGGTCTGCAGGAAGTCACTAAAATCAAAACAGCAAACACATCCATGCTAACTGCGTTTACTTGGGTGTGTGTGTGGTGGGGGGGTGTCGGCTCAAGATGTTAATCTTGTTTCGATGGATGATCACTCAATAAAGTGATATGAAATGTCTCCCTCTGGGATTTGAGAGAAGCATAATCTGATTTGATGCTAAGGAATAACACCAAGTGTTAGGTCCTGGGAGGGTTCATTATGTCGCTAAATGGCTTAACACAGGGCTACTCAACTGGTGGCCTGCGAGCCATTTCCGGCCAGCTGGTGACTTCATCCTGCCAACGACTTCAGTAATTTTTTTTTTTTTTTGGGGGGGGGGTTCTGGGTTTGGGTTTTGGTTTTGGTTTTTGGGTTCTGTTTATTGCATTTATGATTCAATACAATAAAATAAACATTTTAAAGGTAACATATCATTGTAATACTTAATTGATTTACATAACAGCTTTAATCGCTGGGTGTACAGCCCCTGGCCTGCTGGCTTTCAGAAACTGTGGCCCCCTGCGCAGTTTTGTTGAATAGCTCTGGTTTAGCCTGTTTTTTTCCACAGTGGCTTAAAGTAACTTTTTTTTGTTTTGTTTTGTTTTTTTAATGACAAGCTTTGAACTTGAATTGGCACGATATAAAAACACTGAATTGAATTGAACTGAATTGAACTGAATCACAGAGCTGTAACCAATGGATTTTCTTCTTCTTTGATGTTTTTTCTTGTTGCTTTTTCAGAGAGTCAGGTACCCGACCAGCCCAGCTCCCTGCATGTCCGCCCTCTGCCCAATAGCATAATCATGTCCTGGACTCCACCGCTCAGCCCCAACATCCTGGTCCGAGGTTACATCATTGGATACGGCGTGGGAAGTCCATACGCAGAGACGGTCTGCGTGGACAGCAAACAGAGATATTACTCCATCGAAAACCTGGGTAAGGATTCTCAAGAGGGCTCAAAATACTGATGTGTAGGACTGCTGCCGTGTTCAAAAATAGATTTCAGGACGTATTACAAATGGACTGTACTTATATAGCACCTTTCTATCTTATCGAGATACTCAAAGTGCTTTACACTACATTCTGTGTCCTCATTTACCCATTCATACAGCACTCTACTAGATCTCTACAAAGCTAATTGAACAAATCATTCTAAAGAGACTAATCAGTGCTTTAGGTCACATTCATACACCAATGGGACACACATCAGAGGCAACGAGGGGTTCAGTGTCTTGCCCAGGGACACTTCGACATGTGACTGCTGGTGGATTCGAACCCCCAACTCCTGCATTGGAGGATGACTGCTCTAGCCACTCATCCACAGCCGCCCATTACATCATCCATCCATCCATCCATCCATTTTCTTCCGCTTATCCGGGGTCAGGTCGCGGGGGTAGCAGCCAAAGTAGGGAGGCCGAGACTTTCCTCTCCCCAGTCACTTGGTCCACCTGCTCCGGGGGAATCCCGAGGCGTTCCCAGGCCAGCCGAGAAACATAGTCCCTCCAGCGTGTCCTGGGTCTTCCTCTGGATCTCCTCCCGGTGGGACGTGTTCGAAACACCTCACCAGGGAGGCGTCCAGGAGGCATCCTAAACAGATGCCCGAGCCACCTCAACTGGCTCTTCTCGATGTGGAGAAGCAGCGGCTCTACTCTGAGTCTCTCCCGGATGATCGAGCTTCTCACCCTATCTCTAAGGGAGAGCCCAGACAACCTGCGGAGAAAACTCATTTCAGCCGCTTGTATCCGAGATCTTGTTCTTTCGGTCACAACTCAAATCTCGTGACCATAGATGAGGGTAGGAACGTGGATCGATTGTTAAATTGAGTGCTTTGCCTTTGACTTAGCTCTCTCTTCACCACGACAGACCGGTACAGCGCCCGCTTCACTGCAGACGCTGCACCTATCCGCCTATCGATCTCACGTTCCATTTTTCCCTCATTCGTTAACAAGACCCCAAGATACTTGAACTCCTCCACTTGGGGCAGGACCCCCTCCCTGACCCGGAGAGAGCACTCTACCCTTTTCCGGCACAAGACCATGGCCTCGGATTTGGAGGAACTGATCCTCATCCCGGCCGCGTCGCACTCGGCTGCGAACCGCTCCAGCGAAAGCTGTAGATCACAATCTGATGAAGCCAATAGGACCACATCATCTGCAGAAAGCAGAGACTCAATCCTAAGGCCACCAAAACGGATCCCCTCAACACCTTGGCTGCACCTAGAAATTCTGTCCATAAAAATTATGAACAGAATCGGTGACAAAGGGCAACCTTGGTGGAGTCCAACTCTCACCGGGAACAAGCCCGACTTACTGCTGGCAATGCGGACCAGGCTCTGACACCGGTCATACAGGGACCTAACAGCCCGTATCAAAGGGCCCGGTACCCCATACTCCCAGAGTACCCCCCACAGGGTTCCCCGAGGGACTCAGTCAAATGTCTTCTCCAAGTCCACAAAGCACATGTAGACCGGTTGGGCAAACTCCCACGCACCCTCCAGGACCCTGCTGAGAGTGTAGAGCTAGTCCAGTGTTCCACGACTAGGACGAAAACCGCACTGCTCCTCCTGAATCCGAGGTTCGACTATCCAACGGACCCTCCTCTCCAGAACCCCCTAATAGACCTTACCAGGGAGGCTTAAGAGCATGACCCCCTGTAGTTGGAAAACACCCTACGGTCCCCCTTTTTGAATAGGGGGACCACCACCCCAATCTGCCAATCCAGGGGAACTTCCCCAGATGTCCACGCAATATTCCAGAGTCGCATACGCCAATACAACCCTACAACATCCAGAGCCTTAAGGAACTCAGGGCGAATCTCATCCACTCCTGGGGCTCTGCCACCAAAGAGCTTTTTAACCACCTCGGTGACCTCAGCACCAGAGATTGGAGGGCCTGACCCAGAGACCCCAGGCTCTGCTTCCTCATTGGAAGCGTGCCAGTGGGATTGAGGAGGTCTTCAAAGTATTCTGCCCACCGACCCACGACATCCCGAGTTGAGGTCAGCAGCACACCACTCCCACTATAAACAGTGTTGGTGGCGTACCGCTTTCCCCCCCGAGATGCCAAATGGTGGACCAGAATTGTATAGAAGCCGAGCAGAAGTCATTCTCCATGGCCTCTCCAAACTCCTCCCATTCCCAAGTTTTTGCCTCAACGACCACTCGAGCTGCATGTCGCTTGGACTGCCGGTACCCATCAGCTGCTTCCGTGGTCCCAAAGACCAAAAAGGCCCGATAGGACTCCTTCTTCAGCCTGACAGCATCTCTCACCGACGGTGTCCACCACCGGGTTCGAGGGTTGCTGCCACGACAAACACCGACAACCTTGCAGCCACAGCTCTGGTAAGCCTCCTTGACAAAACAGGCATGGAACATGGCCCGCTCGGATTCAATGTCCCCCACCTTCCCCGGAACATGTTTGAAGTTCTCCCAGAGGTGGGAGTTAAAACTCCGTCTCACAGGAAACTCTGCCAGACGTTCCCAGCAAACCCTCACAACATATTTGGGTCTGCCAGGTCTGACCGGCATCCTCACTCACCATCAGAGCCAACTCACCACCAGGTAGTGATCAGTGGACAGCTCCGCTCCTCTCTTCACCTGATTGTCCAAGACATGTGGCCACAGATCAGATGAGACGATGACAAAGTCGATCATTGAACTGCAGCCTTGGGTGTCCTGGTACCAAGAGCACATATGGACACACTTATGCTTGAACATGGTGTTTGTTATTGACAATCCATGACGAGCACAGAAGTCCAACAACAGAACACCACACAGGTTCAGATCAGGGGGGCCGTTTCTCCCAACCACACCCCTCCAGGTCTCACTGTCATTGCCCACGTGAGCATTGAAGTCCCCCAGCAGAACAAGGGAGTCCCCAGGAGGTGCACTTTCCAGTACCCCCTCTAAGGACTCCAAAAAGGGCGGATAATCTGAACTGCCGTTTGGTGCATAAGCACAAATGACAGTCAGAACCCATCCCCCCACACCTAGGTGGAGGGAGGCCACCCTCTCATTCACTGGGGTGAACCCCAACACACAGGCACCAAGATGGGGGGCAATAAGTATGCCCTCTCCTGCTCGGCGCCTCTCACCAGGGGCAACTCCAGAGTGGAAGAGTGTCCA